AAGCAAACCTGGAAGACCGGAGCCCTGGAACAGGGAACGAGGGAAACCGGATTAACCCAAAGCGCGTCCCCGGTCACAGAGGCCGAGGCGCACAGATAACCGTGAAGCGTCACAACCAGACACAACACTCGATGCACCCCTGGCCAGACCAACCAAGCAACAATGACCCAAGGGCCCCTCCAAAAAGCCGCCTTCTCGTTCGTTGCTAGAAAAGGAGGAGATGGCTGCAACCGAACAAACTGACCATACGATTATTTTGTAGGATAACCACCTACAAAATTCTCAGGCGAATTGACAGGGTGGACAAAGACAAATGCTTCAGCACGGGTGGAACACGAACAAAGGGACACAGGTGGAAACTTAGTAGCCAGATGAGCCACAGAGACGTTAGAAAGAATTTTTTCAGTGTCAGAGTACTGTAGTTAATAAATGTAATGCACTACGAAGTGATGTGGTGGAGGCTGACTCCATACACAGTTTCAAATATAGGTATGATAGAGCCCAGTAGGCTCAGGAATCTGTACACCAGTTAATTGACGGTTGAGAGGCGGGACCAAAGAGACAAAGCTCAACCCCCGCAAGCACAACTAGGTGAGTACAACTAGGTGAACACCACCAGGACTGAAAGAGCTTAAACCCCTGCACCGGAGGAGAGCATGACGCTCACCTATCAGACCACCAGGAGCCAATGCCAACAGAAACAGAGCCTTCTGGAAGCAAATCGGGCTCAACCCAGCCTTGACTTTGAAACCCTCAGATGTTTGGGAGCCAGAAGCAGATGAGTAAACGCAGGGCGAACCATGCCCACCTGGGAAAGAAGTGAGGACATGGACTGAACCAAGATCGAAACAACCAACACCCCCAAATCCTAGTCCCTAAAACCCAGGCAGGGCAGCTCCAGGGCTTCCAAACAGGCGACAACCTGGCTCATTGCAACAATGAAAACCTAGCATGCAATGCAGCTGCCGCCGGATCCCTGAGATCTTCAGGTAAAGAATGGGTAAACTGGAGCACAAGCGGAAAACAAATCCCGCAAGACTCCAGGTCGTAGGTGTCACCGACCCAACAGACAGCATGACAGAGACAGTATGGATGATTGCCTCCCCGAGGCAGGGGCAATGAACAACCTTCAACCTCGCACAAGGCAAGAGAGGACTCGGAAGACACACTCATGGTAACTCCGAGCCTAATGGGGATTTCCATGGCCCACAAGGGAAAGTAAGTCCTACGAGAAACCCAGCCACTGGGCTAACTAAGCCAGTTGAGTCCTGTCTATTAGCAGGCAAACTGACCACCAGTAGCAGTCATGAAACCTTGAGGGCAACAGAGGAGGACTACCAACACTACCTAGGCAAAATTAATGAGAAGCTAGGCAAACCTTCCCTGGAAAGAAAAGCAAAAATGCTAGAATACAAAAAAAAAAAAAATATACAAAGTCACACAAACTCTGGAAGCCAGAGAGAAAAGTTGGCCGCCAAGTGTACAAGCTGCATTGGCCACAGTGTGCCTTGTCCAGCAATAAATCACTCCCTACCCGGGACAAGACGAAAAGCCCAAGACCCCCAATGTACCCCAACAGCGAAGCCTACGTCAAACGATGTAGTCCCAAACGCCCCAGGGAAGATAACCCTGGAAAGCCTCGCATACAAATAAACACCTGGCCACCACACCACACCACACACACTAATGGAATAGCCACACAAATTCCAGAACAGGAAAGCGAAGCCAGAGGTAATGTCTGACCACCAGGCAAATCAGTCGAGAACTAGTGGTGGTGATCTGTCGGCTCGCCTGAGCCAGCCCCCTTTTCCCCCCCCCCCCACCTTTTGGAGGGGGGTTGAGGCACTAATGAGTGAATGCACTAGTTGAATGAGGTACTCCATGTTTGTTTTCTTTTTGGGAGAGTTATTTTGTTTTGCTTGGATGTAGGTTGCAATTTTCATCAGCTTGGAGTTTGTATTGTTTCGCCTATCTTTCTGGGTGCCCTCCCTGGTCGATGGCAAGTATGACATACTCTAAATGTAGAGTGTTCATAGGCCATTGCTCCCTGCTCCTCTCTGAGGGAACCAGACTCTGCCTCGTGGTCTCTGGTATGTGAAGGGTTCTCAGTATGTACAGTGATCTATCTTGAGGTTATCTTGAGATGATTTCGGGGATTTAGTGTCCCTGCGGCCCGGTCCTCGACCAGGCCTCCACCCCCAGGAAGCAGCCCGTGACAGCTGACTAACACCCAGGTACCTATTTTACTGCTAGGTAACAGGGGCATAGGGTGAAAGAAACTCTGCCCATTGTTTCTCGCCAGTGCCCGGGATCGAACCCAAGACCACAGGATCACAAGTCCAGTGTGCTGTCCGCTTGGCCGACCGGCTCCCTCAGCTTACCCTCAGCTGCCTCAGCTTCCTCAGCTGAGGTGATACCTCAGCTTACGGATTTAATCCGTTCCCAGAGACGATTCGTAACCCAAAAATTCGTAAATTGAGGCATATTTTCCAGTAAGTAATAACGTAAATTGAGTTAATCCATTCCACTCCCACAAATATTAACTTCAAAGTAAATTTTATACCTAATTCACCCAAATCTTTTGTACTAAAGTATGTACAAGTTATTGCTTACCTTTATTGATGACTCTTGTTGGCATATGGAAGACGGTGAGGAAAGGAGGGGGAAGAGGAGGAGAGGTGTTAGTGTTTGGAAGGAAAGTCCCCTTCCATTATAACATTAGGCAGTAATGACTTCTTTGGGGTACTACTCTCTTCTACATTTTGCCTGCATACCACTAGGACCTGGTTGTGGCTCAGTGCTTGTTTGTCTCATTAATTAATAACACTTTCGCGCATTCATGCCACTCGAGAGCGGCACCAATTTTTCTCTTGAGTCCGCGTAACTGACTCGCTCATGAGTCACGAGAAAAAATATTTCTATAAAATCCATTTTTTATCTGATCGACTTGGGGATAATTTCAAAATGCGCGCCATGAAATTCCCATTCTCCCCAATAGGCCGCATGGCACCCCGGCCTACATGGACAGGGTGCCATGATCACGTGGTCAGCCTATTGTATTGTTGACACGACAAAGTACACATACTTTGTATAAGTTTTTATAAATAAGATATTATGTTTTATAGGTTTTGTAGACAATTTTATTGCGACTAATTTGATACGAAAATGAACAATGTATCACATAAACTTCTACAGTATAAGTAAACGGGAAACTTCATTAAGTTTTTTTCGGGTGTCGCAGGTGTGGCTAACGGGTTGCAGTAAGGTCAGAACAGTGAAAACAGTATACACTTTTCAATAAGGGTCTCGCTGATGTGTCGTCGGGTGTGTGGTAACGGGTAACACTTCGGCCATTTCCCACACTCTTGCGGGTGGGCTGTAACCATGATTCTACACTTATATGCATATGTCCACGTAGGGAATTTTATTGCGATCTCAGTGATACCAAATTTAATGCTGTAGGACAAGTGTGGAGTTGACAACCCTGAAAAAGAGTAGAAACATTTCATCGCTGTTTGGCGCTCACAGCTAGTGATCGACGTAGTTCTTTATTTGGTGCTGGTCTAACTCATGCTTTGGTGATATTTTATACACATGTTCTGCTAGAACATTCTATTGCAAACACATTGCTACAAAAATGAAATACGTACATCGAAAATTAAGGTCAGGACAGTGAAAAAGAGTATACACTTTTCAGTGTTGCTGCTCGATTGCCCAAAACGCCGTGCGCACAAGGGGCCAGTTTTTTTCTCGATTGCCGGGAGCATGAAAATGTTAAGAACCTTTTCATAAAGACTTGTTTTCCTCTATGATCATCCTCACATGTATTTCCATAAGTTGAAACTTACTACTGACTTTCTTGGGACCCATGGCAAGATATATAATACAGCTGTAATAATAACTTTTATGTTCAAATACCCAAAAATCAGAAAAACACTGAAATTCTTTACAAAGAATTCAAACGCGATTGTCATTAGGCGGGAAGCACTAGTAAACTGAGGTGCAGTCGCTGTACCACTACGCGCTAGGTCGGCCATACGCGTATCAACAAACTACGTTACCCCGAGACAAAGTTCACAACCCGATTCGGATTTTACGAAGAAATTGGGCTTGTAACCCAAAAAGTTTGTAAAGAGGGGCATTTGTAAGCTGAGGTGTCACTGTATTATTATAATTGAGAAAATCCATTTGGGCTGTGAGGTGGTGCGAACCTACGACCATGACATTGAATGTCGCATACTCTACCACTGGACCACCTCACAGCTCTATTGGATTTTCTCATTGACATATATCACACTAGTGTGATTTCTGTGTAATTTCTGTGTGATTATTATTATTATTATTATTATTATTATTATTATTATTATTATTATTAATATTACACAGATAGTAATCACACTAACGTGACTGCATCGATAAGAAAATCTGTATGAGCCGTGATGAGGGTTCAAACCTATGCGGTGGTTAAGGTTAATCTCTCACACACGTGCTAGCGACTGGACCACGACATGGTTAAAACAATTGCAACCTGCAATTCTACTGAGATCACAAGGGTTTTATGAGGCTTCCACTTAAGCCAAACCAGGATTTTCACACAATCCACTCTGGTTCTGTTATCTGGGCATATTCTACCTCTAACACTTCTCTTTCAATACACAGAGAGTAATCACACTAATGTGACTGCATCAATGAAAAAATTCGTAGGAGGCATGATGAGGACTGGAACCTATTTGGTGGGTGTTCCCACACACACGTGCTAGTGACTAGACCATGTCATGGTCAAGACTAGACCATGTCATGGTCAAGGCTAAACCATGTCATGGTCAAGGCTAGACCATGTCATGGTCTAATCGCTAGTGCGTATGCATAGGAACACCCACCGCACAGGTTCGAACCCTTATCATGGTTCCTACGGATTTTCTCATTATTATTAGTAGTAGTAGTAGTTATTTTAATCTATGTGCATGTACCTGTATATCTAAAACCAACAAGTCTCCTACCTTATTATTCCTAGTGAAGTCCCTGCCGAGCCATTTCCAACACCTTCTGACTAGAGCCTGAAAATATAATTAAATGCAACACTTTGTACATTTCCATTTACAAACATCAAAAAACCAGCGTTGAATGTAATGAAACGCCATTTCCTGGGTGAGACCCGGAGGTTTCCCAGAGCTATCCAGCCTGATATGCTAATGTCAGACTTTGGCATCAGTCATGTGTATGGAGTTCTTAAGGCCTACCGAGGACCACGAGTCAGAACCTGGCCCCCTCAGAGAGGCATGGGGAGCAATGGCCTATAGAAACTCCCGTGTGGTTGGAAGCATTCTATGTCTGCTATCGACTGGGTCAGGCACCCAGAAAGGTAAGCATTCCAAAACAAACCCCTATTCTGGTGAAAATATTGCTACCAAAAGCTGAACAATTGGATAGAACTCCCCAAACAAAAACGAGCAAACTAGTGTGATGTCAACCGTTGTTGAGCCACCGTCTGTGCAGCTCTCCCCTCCCCAGGAGGGGGAAGGGGAAGCCCTAGACCTACTGTGCCGGCAATCCACACCCCAGTTCTGAGGCTGAATGTCAAAACACACGAAAAACCGCAGACTGGAGGGAGGGAGGGAGGGATGCCGGGTCTCACCCAGAAAATGGCGTTTCATTACAGTACAACCTCGATTCAACGTACCCCGATTCAACGAATCTCCGGCTAGTTCGCACACTTTTCAGGCCGGATTTACTCACCCAGTTCAACGAACAATGGTTCGCCGAAGCGGGGGATGTTCGGATTTGCTTACGATGTCGAGACAGAGTTCACAGATTGGTGGAAAACTTTCACATTCTATCACAGATTACAATTATTAATTCCTTCATATAACAAGTTCAATCACACAAGTGGACCACACAAGTGGACCGCACATATGGTCCACAAGTGGTTCACAAGCTTACGATGTTGGGACAGAGTTCACAGTGGTAGAAAACTTTACCATACCATCAGATTACAATTAATAATTCCTTCATATGACAAGTTGGATCACACAAATGTACCACAGAAGTGGACCACACAAGTGGACCACACAAGTGGACCACAAGTGATTCACAAGCTTACGATGTTGGGACAGAGTTCACAGAGTGGTGGAAAACTGTTTCATTCTATCACAGATTACAATTAATAATTCCTTCATAAGACAAGTTGGATCACACAAGTGGACCACACAACAAGTGAATCATATGAACCAAACACCAGCCAGAATGGTCCACAAGAAGTGACGCATATTAACTAAACACCAGCCAGAGTCGTCCACACAAGTGGACGATTGAGTTTCAATGATTTCGTTCACCGATTTGTGGCACACATATCTTTGTAAATTTATTTAAAGGCTGAAGCGTGAATAGCTAGCTAATATGTTGAAATCTTCTTATATATATTTTCTGTGATGAAACAAGACGAGTGAGGGTGGACAGATAAGGGAATACTGTACAGTAAACCTCACTTTACAGTGAGGTTTCACTCACTTTCGTCTGTGTTGTCATAGTTCAGTGACCCATGGCTTTGAGCGTTTCACATTAATAAATCATTTCTAAAACTGGTGTTTTAATAACTCTTTATAATCCTAATTAAACTAAACTAAATAAAACCAAAACTATACTGTAATAAGATAGATATCTCCTATTTGAGAAATTATTCATGTTATTGGCAGCACAACTCCAGCACAAGTGGACAGGTCTAATCCCTGTCCTTACAACACCATGCTTATTGTGTTCGATTTCGTCGCCACAGTTCAGCGATCTACGGCTTCGAAATAATAAAATTAATAAATCAGTTCCAAAGTATTTTTTATAGCTCTTATTATCGTAATAATGTTGCTAAACTAAATATGTAACCCAAAAATATATAATTTGATGTAAATTGAATATTTGAGAGAAATATATGTTACTGGAAATCGAACACAACACCAGGCAGTGTTTTGTTCGATTTCGTCGCCACAGTTCAGTGACCTACGGCTTCGAAATAATAAAATTAATAAATCAGTTCCAAAATAAGTATTTTTTATAGCTCTTATTATTGTAATAATGTTGCTAAACTAAATATATAACCCAAAAATATATAATTTGATGTAAATCGAATATTTAAGAGAAATTTATATTACTGGATCAGGCTTAAACACCAGCCTACTGAAGGGTGTACGTATAGACTTAGTCTGCGTTTAACAGTATGCACCCAGTGCCCTTAGCTTTGTCTGTGATTGACGTACAGTATTTATCCGCCGGTGGAAGAATAATCGTGGAATTGACCATTTTTTTACTACAGCTCTTTGGTTATAAAACAAAATGTCTCAGGGGCTTACTAATAGTGCCTTATTAATGCCAAAAATGAAGCAATATTTTGCAAGAACTAGTAGCAGAAAATCAACCAGCACGAGAACAGCTGTACCCAGCACAAGAACAGCCGTACCCAGCACGAGAACAGCCGTACCCAGCATGAGAACAGCTGTACCCAGCACGAGAACAGCCGTACCCAGCACAAGAACAGCCATACCCAGCACGAGAAAAGCCGTACCCAGCACGAGAACAGCCGTACCCAGCAAGAGAATAGCCGTACCCAGCAAGAGAACAGCCGTACCAAGCACGAGAACAGCCGAACCCAGCACGAGAACAGCCGTACCCAGCACGAGAACAGCCGTACCCAGCACGAGCACAGTTGTACCCAGCACTGGTACAACAGCCGTACCCAGCACAAGCACAGTTGTACCCAGCACTGGTACAACAGCAGCCAGCACCAGCTCAGAAGCAGCTGAACCCACAGCAGCAGCGAGCACCAGCAAAGCTGATGCAAACATCTAAAAACATCGTGTGCAGCATGAACAGTTAGAACAAGTGTTAAATTTAAGTGTGTACACAGTGTTAAAATTAAAGTTGCAGTAATTTTAGTGTACAATAGTTTTCATAAACTGTATTGTAGTACAGCAGCAGAACTACTTTTAATCAACACAGTGCTAACGGCATAATGCACTGCAGTACGTATTTAATGTAGAGCATTCACAACTTCACGAAACTTCATGATGGACATAACTTCAACAATAAGGTAAATTTATGAATTACAGTATTTTTTAGTAGAGAAGTAATATATAGGTAGAGTATGTAATATGATAATGCATTTTTATTGTGTACAAGAAAAAAAAAGACACTGACACAAACGCCTCTTGAAGGTCACCTCTTGCAACGAATCCAACGCTCCAACGAACTGGGGTTGGTCCCATATAGTACGTTGAATCGAGATTGTACTGTACATTCAACGCTGTTTTCTGGGGGAAACCCCTACGGCTCCCAAGAGCTAACCACCCACAGAGAAAAAAAGTGCACTCACCCGGGAGGCGGTTGCTGCTCACTCCTCAACCCGAAGGCAAGACAAGTAGCTGCATCCGCCGTCCCAAAGGGACACAGGCCCAACTGGGCCCAGGGACGTTAACGCGGTAACTAGCAGCCAGGAACCTGTTTGACCGCCAAAATCCCTGCACCCGAATGTCAGCCCAAAACATATTGCCAATGACGGTGGCAAGAACAGCAAACTTGCGAACGTCATGGGCACAGGAATAGACCGCCAGCTGGCTAGCCTTAATAACCCTGCGGATGACCTGGGAGACCCGCACCCACGAACAGGGAAGAAGGGAAACCAGATCAACCCAAAGCCCGTGCCCGGACACAGAAGCCGTGGCGCGCAAATAATGGCGGAGAGCCGCACCCGGACACAAAACATGATGCACCCCCGGCCTAAGCAACGAAGCATCAACAACCCAGGGGACCCCTCCGGAATGCAGCAGTCTCATTCTTCGCCAGAAAAGAAGAAGGCTGCAGACGAACGAACCGATCGCCCCGACCGAAAGAGCAGAAACCCCTGCGCCGGAGGATAGCATGAAGCTCACCAACCCGACCTCCAGAGGCTAAATCCAACAGAAAAAGAGCCTTGGAGAAACAATCCTGAACCGAAGGGGCCACAACAAACTGAGAAGAAGAAAGATAAGAGAGCACTCTGTCCGATAACCAGGTCGGCTCAGGCGACGCATGAGCAGGCCGAAGGGAAACAAGGCCCGAGACAGCTTGCGAAACTGCGCAGATGTAACATCGATACCGAAAGCAAGCTGAAGCGGCTCCGCCAGCACCGCACGATACGAGGCGACAGTGTTAGGCATAAAGAGACAGTTCTGGAACAACCAAAAGAGAAAGGACAACACCACCACCCTAACCGAAAGTGAAGTACAACGACGAAGACGTAAAAAGAACCGAAAGGACCGCCAGGAAACTTCATACTGCCGTTGAGACAAAGCCAGCAGGTGGGACACTAACAAGGAAGCCACCTGATCACCATAGAGACGATGATAAACTCGAGTCAAAAATACCATACGCGAAGACTCGAGGAGAAGATCGAACCAGCCACGTGACTCACTGGTCCGATTTGCTGGAAGAGGCGGAACCGCGAGAAAACCTCTGGGTTCGGACACAGAGCAAGCAGCGCCTGAAACCACAGCTGGGATGGCCACCATGGGGCCAAGAGGACAACTCTTCCCTGGTAAGTCTCCAAGCGAGTCAGGACACGGAGCAACAGCGGAACCAGGGGAAAGAGGTAAAGGAACCCCCACCTCGACCAGTCCTGCCGGAAGGCATCGACCTCGACGGCCTTGCAGTCAGGGAAGGGCGTCACATACTGGGGAAGGCGCCGCGACCAAGCCGACGCGAAGAGGTCCACCTCGGGTCGTTCGAACGTCTGGCAAACCCAACAGAAGGAGTCTGCGTCGACCGGCCATTCCGTGGAGAGGGGAACAAAATGAGACAGGCCGTCGGCCAAAACGTTGGACACTCCCCGCATATGAACTGCCAGGAGAGCCAAACCCTGAGAACTCAGCAGACGAGTCACCTGAAGCGAACAGCACCAAAGAGCCAAGGACCACATTGAATCCACCCGGTTCAGACAATGAACCACCGGGGAGCAGTCCGAATGGAGCCGGATCGTCGACCTGCGGACGATCCGATGCCCCCAAAGAGCAAACCACACTGCCGCGAACTCCCGCACCATGCTGTGGGCTCAACAGAAAGACAGACCTCACCATCCCTTGCTGGCCTCGTGAGCACTGGTCACAAAGCCCCAACCGAGTGACAACGTGTCCGTGAACACATCGAGCGAAGGCTCGGATTGGCGCTAAGGCACTGAACCCCGAAAAACCCTTAGAGGAAGCGGGCGATGCAGCAACCGACGCAAGGCCCCCCGGGGTCCGAACCCAGCGATTGCGAAAGAGGCAGAAGGGACGTCCCCGAAGGAACCAGAACAGCCGATGAACCCAAACCCAACCCGGCGGGTAGACCAGCATCGCGAAGTTCAGGATCCCCCACAGACCCTTGAGCAACTGCCGGGTGACCCGGTAACCCCCCAGAAACTAGCGCATGCGGGACTGCAGTCACAGGAGACTCCGGAGGAAGAGACAAGGAAGCGGTCCGAGAGTCCCACACAAGGCCCAGCCATGTCCGAACCCGGGAGGGAACCAGATAGGACTTCCTCCAATTCGCTAAGAATTCGAACCCGGTGAGCTGGAAAAGAACTAAATCCCTGACCAGCAGACAAGAGGACCGGCTGGGAGCCCAAACCAGCCAGTCATCGAGGTAGGCCAACACCTGAACACCTAACAGATGCAGATGGGCCACCACAACCCGTGTAAGGCGTGTGAACATGCGAGGTGCCAGGTTCAACCCGAACGGGAGACAACGAAAGTGGTAACCTTGACGCCCCACAACAAAACCGAGCCAGTCCCTGAACCCCGGATGAATCGGGACATGCCAATAAGCGTTCCGGAGGTCCAGGGACACCATGCAAGCACCCGGTTCCAACAGAAGCCGAACTTGGGACAGCGTAGTCATCCAAAAGGAGGGGCAATTAACCCAGGGGTTCAGACGGGACAAGTCCAGAATGAACCGCAGGTCCATTTCGCAGTCCCATTTCAGGACTGAAAACAGACGGGAAACCCATCTGAGGGATGTCATCATTTCGACCATGCCCAAGCGAACCCACTCCAAGATGACCTGACAGAGCGCAGGGAAAGAGGCCTGCCCCAAACCCCCCGAAGGAGGGGGGGCTACCCAACGCCCATGAATCGTGGGACCAGGTGTGAGCGAACAGTGCAAGCCTCCCCTTCATCGCCCCATCAATGGGGCGAACCGCAAAAGGGCCGGCGCCCCTTACAAGACCCAGAACCTCGCACAGAGCGAACACCACGCCGACCAGACGAAGGCGGGTCCAAAGGAGGAGCCGAACCCGAACCCGACACCAGTGGCCTACCACGACGAGAAGAACCCGAGCCTTGGCACGACCCTTCCGGGAAGGCCCACCACGGGACCCACGGAGAACCAGCAAGTCCGACATAGGACGGCAAGAAGCCGAAGCAGCCTGAATATACTGTGCAACAGCTGAAGCCTCAAACAGGAGAGAACAAAAGGGCAAAGACATCCTAAGAGCCAAGGCCCAAGCAGATTCCACAGAAGAGGCAAGCACCACCTGCCAACTCGTGAGCCGGGAAGCATAAAACAGCGCAACCACATCCCACAACATCGTTTTGAAAAGCTTCCGCAAGGAAGCCGACGAGCAAGCCGCCAAGGCCAAGGCTTCAGAACCAGGAACAGCCCCAAGCACCCCACATCTTCCGTGAGCCAGTTCGAAGACAGCTCAAGGAGGGAAAAGAAACGCAAGGCCGAAGCCAAAAGGCCCCAGGCGCGCAAGTCCTCAGCCACCAGCGCCACTGAAAGGGAGGGGACCTGCACAAGGAGCTGAATGACACCAACATCCCGGGGAAGGGCAGGAGCAAACAAGCACTCATTGAGGTGCTCTAGGTCGTCCCCCAGGAAAACCTGCAGCACCGTCGAAGCCTCCCACCACTCAAACGTGCGGGAACGGCAGAAGGAGTGCCAAGCCTCCAAGGTAAAGACAGGACAGTCCGCCAGCCAGGACGACTCTGGAACCTTGTAACAGAGCCAGTAAGGGAACGAAGTTCCAAGCCTGAAAGCCGAGGGATCCATTGCCGAGGCATAATCTGGGTCATGCAGGAGGTTTGCCGCAAGGGCCGCCTGCAACGCAGCAGGTTGGATGCGATAAGCCGAAAACCTCCAGAAAGACGGAACTGAAGTACCCGGGGGAACACGGAACAGAACCAGGAGAGGGGCAGACACCAAGTCCAACTCGTACGCAGAGGGGGGAAAGAAAACCCCACTCCTTGTAACAGTAAGCCCCGCTCAGAGGGCAGAAAAACCCAGGTGGGGTCCGACGTCACACTAGTTTGCTCGTTTTTGTTTGGGGAACTCTATCCACTTGTTCGGCTTTTGGTAGCAATATTTTCACCAGAATAGGGGTTTGTTTTGGGATGCTTACCTTTCTGGGTGCCTGACCCAGTCGATGGCAGACATAGAATGCTTCCAACCACACGGGGGCTTCTATAGGCCATTGCTCCCCATGCCTCTCTAAGGGGGCCAGGTTCTGGCCGTGGTTCCCGGTTGGCCCTAAGAACTCCATACACATGACTGATGCCAAAGTCTGACATTAGCATATCAGGCTGGATAGCTCCGGGGAGCCGTAGGGCTCCCCCCAGAAAGCAATATGAAAAACATAGTTTAAGATTGACAAATGATGTATACAAGCTGGCTGTTTATAATTAAGATAAAAAACATGATGAATTTACATGCAAATTAAGTTATCAATATGCTATTCACATGAAAAATCATTATCTGGTTTATTTAATTTGCTTCATGCTTTACATATACTCCTTATATCATTGCACAAAGCCTGCATTTACCTGTCTCATCGGTGATCTGATCAAAGTTCTTCATTAGAACCGAGGCATGAGAATCTAGGAACGTTTGCTCTGCTGCAGTTAAGGACTCGCCCAATTTTTGCAAGGCACTTAGAATCTCAGCCTGTATTCAAATTGTATTAGCATGTTACATTAAGATTAGAAAATTACAAATAGAAATTAATTGTGGCACTTGGATATAAACTTTTTTGTGACAAGATCTCAACCCATCCTCCTGTTTAGATAGTACCTATTGTGACAATCGTCAATAGTCATGAATTCATACGTACTTAACTTTTAGGTAGATATACCTAAACGTACTGTATACTGACTAGTAATCTTAGAAAAAAAAATTAAAGCTGAAAAACAAACTTAATTATTCCTAGGCCAACTACAGTACACATATGTACTATATTATGCCTCAAATATTGTGTATTAGGCCTAGGAAGGTTAGGTTAGTTTAGTTTGTCTTTGCAACACATGCTACATGGCCTTCCCGGCTTGGTGCCTTCTTTGATAATTACTTACTTACTTTGCAACACAAGTAAAAAATTTTTTTTCGGTTTGTCCAACTCGATAGTGCCAATTTCTACTTTCTAATTTTGTTGTACATCGGTATATATATACTATGGTCCTCATCGTTACTATAAGTACTACCAAAACAGGAGGATGGGCTGCAAGATCTATATACTGTACTTGGAAACATTATATAAATTAAATATATACATGCATTACATATATACCCAGTTCCCACTTTGATGGGTCATAATAGTACTAGAGAGAGAGACTGTAGAATGTTCAATATAGACAAGAAAACATCCAGAAAGTGTGTTTACATAATGCTTAAATAGTATCACAGGAATTTCCAAGCACTGACCTACTAATTACCAATTAGCTCAGTATGTCACTATCCTTGACTGTCAGCAGGTGGCAGCACAGGCACAACAAAGCTGCCAGTCCAACCACTACCTCATATTTTTACCTGGCTTACCTCACACCAGGATGACCAGGAAGTGATCAGAACTATTAAGTGATTTGAGTTACCCTAATGAACTTAGTGCTTCAACCATGCAGTGGGCTTATGCTACACAGTAAATGCTTCTCGTGTGTGGTTTGGTATTGGGTTCAATCTCTGGAGGGTTATAAAGGCTGTGACACTCACTGGCCAATCAGCAAGTACACTACTTTAATCTTGAACTTAGTTCAAGATTACATTAAACTCATTCACTGAGAAGCCTCTCAGTGTATATATCCCAATGTGAAACTTACTCAAGTGTAGTTAAAGGACAAGAGCTATGATCATGGTATCCTGTCTTCTGTGTAATCTTTATCGTATGACATTTTGTACATTTTTTGGCACCATTGTTTTCTTAGCTTGAATCTATGACCTGTTGTTTTAGAAACTACTGGTTTGAAAAGTTTCTCCTAGTCAAATGTGTCAATTCCTGTCACTATTTTGTATGATGTGATTATATCACCTCTTTTCTTTTTATCTTCCACGTTTTGGCATAGTTAATGCCCCTAGCCCCTCCTCATATCAACTTGGAACCCATTTAGTAGCATATCTTTGTACATTTTCAAGTTTTTGTCTTGCTTGAGATATGGACATCACACCAATGCTGCATATTCTAATTTTGATCTTATGACTGATGTGAACAATTTCACTAGCATTATTACAGCCATAAATTTAAAAGCAATTCTAGAATTTGCAAGCATAGCACAGGCTTTTTTAATGTAGCCCTCAGTTGATATTATGGTCACCTGAGGCTTACATCAAGAGCGTAAGGGTAGCCTGTCATCTACCATTATGCCCCATGATGTATTTAAGTATTGTATGCTGCTCTCGCAGCGGTCTTCGCTAACACGTCCTTCGCTGATGTTCAGGCAGAGGTTTGGCAGTCTAACAGAGGTTTGGCAGCCCAGTATTTAGCTATTGTCCCTGGGCCTGGTGATGCCTATGTTGCTTTGGGTCCTGTCTCAACCACCAGTCTCTTTTGTCTTGATTACCTGCAGTCTTTCCTCTTTCCCCCTGGTGAGTCCCTGGTATGTCTTCTCTGTGAATAATTAGCTTCAGGGAGCCACAAAGGGCTCCCCCCACATTAAACCATCATGAAATGTAATGAAATGCCTCTTTCTGGACGAGTCCTGTTAGCTCTGATTGCCTCCATCCTCTTCCAGGTTCGTCGGTTGGTGTTCATCTTCATATCTGCTCCAGAACTGACTTGGAAGGCTGGGGAAGACCTGAAGCTCCAGGCACCCCCCTTCCATTGAGGGAGTTAGTGCAAACGCGCTCGTGCAAGATTCGAGAGATTTGATCGCTTGTTAACGTTGATTGGGGGGAGTTCATTTGGCGGTTTCGAGGCATTGGTCTCTTTGAACCCAGCAGTGAGCTGTATTGGTTTGTTGATTTTATAAATGCCATCCTGGTGAGGTGGCAGAGTGTCACCCATTCTCTGTGCCTCTGGGAGGGGGCCAGGTTCTGGCTCCAGTCCCTAGTAGGCCAAACAGAACTCCACAGCTGATGTGACTTAGCAGTTGAAGCTATCTCAAGAGATAGCTTCAGGGAGCCACCTGGGTTCATCCAGAAAGATGTGTTTCATTACATTCAATGCTAGTTATTTCTGAAGAATTTTTTCCAGCACATTGCATAGGACACACGTTAGTGACACTGGTCTATAGCTTAGTGCTTCATATCTGTCCCCTTTCCTGAATATTGGAACTTTATTTGTCTTTTTCAATATTTCCAGTCTACATAGTTCTTTCAGCAGTGACAGAGTTATCACCTGCAAACAAAAAATTTTATATGTTCCAATTATTAATATTACACGCCTATCTCAGGTGTTCTTAATTGGACCGTATTCATAATCACTATCCTTATATGTAGAGGATATATATACAGTATAATGAATAACCAGAGTATGCACCCATCTCCCGATAAAGCCAATCACTGTACTTAATAGATTTTCCCATACTCAATTCTATCTTAATGTATAGGAATGTTACTTTCACTTAATGTCAGTCATAATTTTATTTAAAAAACAACCACAAATGTGCAATTGAAATTCTTGTCTACCATATTTGACTATTTAAATATATGAATCTAATGCACCAACCATATCTTTCAAGTCACTAATTCCTTAACCACTTAACTGCGCCAACCGAGTATTCTCGGTCGGCGGGAAACTGCGCCAACTGAGAAAAACTCTTTGATTTTTCGTAACCAATTCTAAATGTGTATGAGGTTGGTTGTGTACGAAATGGACTCTTAGGACCTCCAGTGAGAGGCAGCAATCTTGGAAAAAATTCCCAGAATGCCCTAGGGCTGCTGGCTGGGATAGTACTGAATGAGCAACCATGGGTGGCGCACACGCCTCTGGCTCCCAAACATCTGTCCGACTCGGTGTTGAAAGATAATGCTCTGTCAGTGAAATTCAAACCTTATTGTTTGAAGAACATAAGGGTCATAATATTGGGGAAGCTAGGCGCAATAAGGACCTAACACGAAGGTCGGATGCAAGTGATACAGCACCTATGAGGACGACACAGCGAGCATATCCAGTTGTAGCTCTGAGCATCACCCTTGCAATCCTATGCTATCTACAATTTATTTAGATGATACATAGATGAATCATTTTCTGCGTTCAGTGATGATGCATCTGATACAAATAGCATAGATGAACAGTGTTAGCGGCTTCCATGGTGGTGTTTTCCATAGATATTTTCAAGAATACCTGAATCTCTTCCTAACTGACGGACACTCTTTGAGGCTACCCGAATCTCTTTCTGACTGATGGATACTCTTGAGGTATGCTGAATCTCTTCCTGTGTGGGACCATACAAAGCGATCTTTTCAAGATTTACCTTACAAATTGATCTTTTCCTATAATCTTTTCAATACTACCCTATGCTTTTCAAGCTTGGCTACATACAACCTACAAATACTAAAGCCAAGGGTGTACGTGAGTGCGTTAATTGCAAGCACACAGAATGAAGAAACAGGAAGCGAAAATTTATCTGTACCTGGTGCACTGAGAGTGAAGTCGCGCTGTGTACCATGGGCTACTTCATTGATTATTACTCACTTCCGAAGTACTGAGTGTGTAATACAGTGTGTTACTGTGTAAATAGTGTGTGAAACTGTACATACTGTATTGTAATTTTAGTGAATTTTGAACAGGTAATATTGTGACAATAAACATTTATTGTGGACACATTACTGACATATGTATCACAGTTCCAGGGAACATTAGGAACGTTCTACTGTATACATATTGTAAAGGACACAAATATGCATCATATACGATAAAACAAAACAAATAAAACCGCATTGGAAATACATAAAACAAATAATTTAAAATATATTTGTGGCAACACCCGGTGCTTGAATGGCCCGCGCGACCGTGTCTGGGCGATTCACTCACAGGCGACCAGGCCCTGATGACGTCACAGTGCACCTTGTCCACGTCCCCACAGCCAAAGTAAGTGGAATTTGGTATTTATTTTTACATAGACATGTTTAGGGAAGGGAATTTATCATTTTACAAAGAAAACAGAATTTTTTGGGAACACTTTATTTCATGTGCACAGTGGGAATTTCACAATAAACTCCACGCAGCACAGTGGTTAAATCTCACATTATTGTATCAAAACTCCTGTATCTGCTCCAGTTACCATACAAAAAAAACAGCATTGAATGTAATGAAACGCCATTTTCTGGGAGACCCGGAGGCTCCCCGGGAAGGGGAGCCATTCAGGGGAACCCTCAGCCATGTCTAGGCTGATATGGATATACAATGGGGCCTCGACTTACGATGCTAATCCGTTCCCAGAGGCGGATCATAAGTCGAAGCGATTTTTCCCATAAGAAATAAAGGGATTTGAATTAATCCGTTCCCCACCCTCCAAAATATTAACATACAAATACATTTTATACTGAATACAATGTTTTTTCGAACTACAATACGGTACCAAAGTTTCTCTTACCTTTATGGAGGGCTCTTGATGGTGTATGGAAGATGGTGATGAGAGGGAAGGAGGGGAGTTGTTCCTGTTTGGAAGGGGAGTCCCTTTCCATTATCACATCAGGGAGTGATGTTTTCTCTGGGGTACTCTCTCTCCTACGTT